CAGAGTACATCATTTCCTATATGCTTGCTCTTGCAGATTTTCTGGTTCTATTTTGCCCCATTAGTTCTGTGCAGGTTGCACTGCTTTCTCCTGCAGCTGGTGATTCTCTTCTGTATTATTTTCTTCTTCTTCTTTTTATGTTATTATATATTTAGCTTCAGGTTATTTCCACACACGCCCATCTTGTTAGGCCTGCTATATCCTTTTCTCACAATCTATTGCCAATGTGAAGTTTCAACGAGAAGGATTGATTTCCTTCAACCCCAAAGGCATGCTATCAAAGTTCAGATTTATCTGATTTGCTCCTGAGTAATATATTTGGGAGCTAACAGGGTCTCCCGGTGTTCTTTTATTTTTTATATATATATATATATATATATATATATATATATATATATACACACACACACACACACACACACCGTATTTTTTGCTCTATAAGATGCACTTTTTCCCTCCTAAAAAGTAAGGGGAAATGTGTGTGCATCTTATGGAGGAAATGCAGGCTGTGCTGCTATCCCAGAAGCCAGAACAGCGAGAGGGAGTGCTGTGCAGCCCTGCGGTGGCTTCACACGGCTAAGCCAGAAGCCAGATCTCTCTTGCTGTTCTGGCTTCTGGGATTCAGAATATTTTTTTTCTTGTTTTACTCCTCCAAAAACTAGGTGCGTCTTATGGTGTGGTGCGTCTTATAGAGCGAAAAATACGATGTATTTATATATAGATGTATATATACGATGTATGTATATATAGATACGTATATAAAAATACGATATATGTATATATAGATGGTCTTGCAACCCAGCTGGTTTTAAAATGACCAGGTTTCTCTTTTTTTGGGGGGGTGGTGGAGGTGTTTTGTGGTTTTTGGTTTTTTTTAACACCCACCCACACCTTTATATATTTCACTTTTACAGTTTGCTCATGCCATGTTTGCATATGATAATTTAATAACATGCCTGTATATTTCAAAACACTTGTGGCTATTTACCATCTCTCCCCCCACCCCCATGCTTACTTAGGTCACCCAACCTGTCCATGGGCAATTTTGATAGGTTGGCAGAGCCACCCACCTGTCGGTCACCTAACATCACCATGTCAGGTGACACATTTTCCTTTGTCCGTATGGTTTGAAATAAAACCACCTGGGCAAAAGTTCAGGGCTTTGCAAGTGCCAACAATCAGCCGATTGGTGATCCCTGCTAACCCTATTTTCAGTACGGAGCCATGTCTTTTTACCTGCTCCACATCTTCAGGTGTTTAGGGCAGGTGGGCATGGCTTGGGGGAAATGGCCTTGCAACTAAATTAGGACCCCTGTCAGGCTTAAATAGGCTTGTGTGGATTGGAGGTTCTCCAAAACTGCTGTGGAGAATCTCCCTTCTTCTGGTGTTCCTCTTTAGACAGGCACATACCATGCAGCAAGGGAAGCCAACTGCTTTGGGTGGTACCAAGAGGCAGGGTGGAATAGATGAAGGCAGGGCCTGGGGCAAGACTTTATTATTATTATTGCCGTAGCTGGGTGTAGGGGTGGGGAGTGAGGGATTGGGGTTCTGCTTTAGGCAGCAGAATGTCTTGGGCTAGCACTGGAAGGACAGCTATCAATACCTGAATGCTCAGTTCAACAAGTAAAGGCATCTCTAGAAATTGCTTGGAGGCTGAGCAAGGAAGGTGCCACAGCCATGGCATCTGGGTCCCATTGACTTTGTAATCTTATCTAACAGGATAGAAGGGACTCTTAACTTACCATGCATTGTTAGAACTTACCCAGGTTTTTCCTTGCATTTAGAATGCAAGAGTTTGAATTTTAATTGAAGTCCCCCCACCCCCTGTGACAGATGGCAGTGCTGTGAATAAACTACATGCCTCTGGGTCTCAGGCAGTGCTTTTAAAAAAGAAAATTTTCCAAGTACTAAATGCGTTCTGTCAGGGCTCACTTGAGAGAAAATATTAATATAATACATAATCAGAAGTATCACCAAAACCTCACTTGTAATTCGATAGTGTAATCTTTATTTTGACAATAAATTGACAAGCACTTGGATTTCGAAAACTGCTGTGTGGTTTTGACAGCTCTGTAAAAAGGCCTTAAAGTGCAACAGGTTTTGCTTGCTGCATCAAGAGTATTTCTGCGCCACTTGCAACCCGCTAAGCCAAATTCCACTCGCTAACCATATATGGTGGCACAGCATGTGCTCTGTGAACCTCCTGGTTTATGCCACTTTCCAGGGACTGCAGAATTAGGGGTGCAGGTGGTAGTATCATAGAACTGTAGAGTTGGAAAGGGACCCTGAGGATCATCGAGTCCAACCCCCTGCAAAGCAGGAAGGTGCAGTTGTCCCATGGGGATTGAGCCTGTGACTTTCGTGTTACCAGCACCATGCTCTAACCAACTGAACTGTTCCACTGAGGCCAGCTGGTGGTTGTTGTCAGTAATTGGAAGAGAAGAAAATATGGATAGTGGGTTTTTTCCTGCTTGGAGGGGTCACACATTGTGTAAGTCCGACTTAGAGTGTTAAAATGGATTGTGGTCCTTCAGATATCTCTGGGTGCCAGCTCCTATCATACCTGACCACTGAACATGCTGGCTGGGGTCGGTGGGAGTCACAGTCTGGCAGCACCTGGAGGGCCACAGGCCCTTCACCCCTGAAATAGAAGGTGCTTGTCTTGGCAACCACATTTTTAGCACTGTATTTTCTCTGCTTAATGAACAGAGTTGTTGCTTCTTAAAACTTTCCCCAGGGTACCACTTACGCTTCACCAAAACACAAGATATGCATCACCAAAAAAATAGAACAAAAGAAGACACAAATTTGCATAAAGCTCATATATGCCAATTTATATGCGTAGATGCAAAATCAGAAATAGTTGCAAAGGTACTCAAGGAAGCTAACAACCCTGAACATTCTGCCTGCAAGTATTGTAAAATTCCAGCAATGTATCAACATTCAAAGTAGATAGAAAATACAAAACGACTTCACCAAATTGGATATATTAAGAGCACCAGCAGAGTAAAAACAAACACAAAAATAGATTTACAGCCGGCTGCAAGTATGAGAGGGACCTAATATTTGGGGATATAAAATGCTGCAATTCACAATTTGCACACATGTCAAAGCTGAACTTTTCAATTAAGCCGACTGCCTGCGTGAAAAGCCTTACACAAACTCTAGTGCTGATGTATTAGATCACAGGTAATAGGAACTTAGCACTGATTTGCATCAAAAGAGTGGATATCAGAGAAGGGGCACGGAGGCAGACCTAGCTTTTGTTATAGCGAAAGCCACCTTTCACCTGTCTTCCAGGCATCTCCCTGCTTCTGCTGCCAATCTCAATAGAGTTTTATGTGTTTAAGCTATTAGCAAAGGCATTAAGCACAGATGCACCTGTGTGGCATCACAAAGTGCATGTGTGACCTTAGAAGACTCAGTATTTGCCTGGTGCCTGCCTTTCTCCCACCTGGAGCGGGAGCTGTGCAGGGGATGAGGGATGGGTACCACTTTGCAGCTGAGGTGTGGAATGTGGAACAAGAAAGGTGGGGAGACACAAGCAGTGTTGCTGCCCCTCTCCCCAATGATCTGCTGCTTGAGTGATGAACAGGCTTGTTAAGTTAAAGACAAAACTACCACCTACTGGACACTTTCCAATATTGGACAAATCTCAAAAGATGATACCCAGGCAGACATTGCTGGAAGAAATGCTGGGCTTTCTGGGAAGACATTGCTGGAAGAAATGCTGGGCTTTCTGTTGCCCTTTAATTTAAAGAAACCAGGGTCAAATTTAATAACCAAATTATAGCTGAGCTTCAGCAGTTTAGATTTCAATACCTACAGAGGTGAGACAGATGGTTACTAAAGAGAGGCCCCTTTGGAGGTGTCACCCTGGTTAAGAAATGGTCACACCAATGAAGCTTACATTCAGATCCTATTGGCACCAAAGTCCTTTTAGAACCACATTTATTTATTTATTGCTCTAGGAACAGATTATTTCTGCTAGCTTGTTTAGGCAGGAAATGGGATTGATTGATTGATTTTTTGAGAAATATTTTTAGTTCAATTTCAGTCTTGTTGATTGGGCGGCCAGCACGTGTTTTAAATGAATAAAGTTCAGAAACCAACGAAGACTGTTTTTGGTGGCAGCCCTGAGGGCAGCACCCAGGAATTCCTTTCCATAATACCAGCAGCTCTCCTTTTCTAGATTGTGACTGACACTTTCTTGATTGCTAATGCGGTGAGTGAAGCAGCACCTGCCAGCGTTGAGATGAATCATTCCCACAGTGCTCTTGGAGAGGAGGTAGAACTGTGCAAGTAAGGCAAAGAGGGAGATTTTCTTTGATTGAAGACAGGGCAAAGTAAAAAAAAAAAAGCATCCTGGGAATGATTAATCTGACTTGCTCGCCTGGTCATGCCGTGCAGCTTGACTTTCATTGGGACAGCAGTTCCATGCTTCCTTGAGCTGTTCAGTGCTTAGTATGCTCCTGGGGTATAACAGCCCAGACTTGACTGACTATGCAGTGGCCATTTGCCTCTTGAGTTAGGCATATTTAAGCCACGCTCCTATCAATGGGACTTAAGTGTGTCTAACGGTGCAGTGGATTGTGGCCAGTATTTATATTGTCATCTGGGTAGCAGTGACCATTTCAGTCCACTTGCCATGTGACTTCCATATGTATAAATTAAGAATCACATTGATCTAGTACTTTAAAGAGTGCCATATTTGTTACCTGTGTCATCCAAAGTTATGAAAGTAAGTGGCTTCACATCCATTTAGCTGAGTTTCAGAAGTAGTTAGAACTGGACCGAATTAAGGTGATGCGTTCTTTTCTTTTTTGCAGATCAGTATCTCCCTGAGACCTTTCATTTCATTGAACTAATTCAATAAAGCTAATAATCCCATTTCAAAGTATGCCAGTTGATTTCATCTAAACACAATTTGTGCTCTCACCACCCTTGCTCAATCCCACTTAGAACGTTTAAAGGATTTGCATCAATCATTCTCTGAGGAAGGGGCTGTAGCTCAGTAGCAGAGCATCTCCTTTGAATGCAGGAGGTCCCAGTTTCCATCCCTGGCATCTCCAGGTAGGGAGAAACCACTTCTAGTCAATGTAGATGAAAGTGAGCTTGATGGACCAATGGTCAGACTCAGTATATGGCAGCTTTCTATGTTCTGTGAATGTTCTGCTTGATGATCTCATAGAATAATAGAATCAAAGAGTTGGAAGCGTCATCTAGTCCAGCCCCCTGCAATGCAGGAATCTCAACTAAAGCATTCATGGCAGATGGCCACCCAACCTCTGCCAGCGTGGTGTAGTGGTTAAGAGCGGTGGACTCATACTCTGGTGAACTGGGTTTGCTTCCCCGCTCCTCCATATGCAGCTGCTGGGTGACCTTGGGCTAGTCACACTTCTCTGAAGTCTCTCAGCCTCACTCACCTCACAGAGAGTTTGTTGTGGGGGAGGAAGGGAAAAGGAGATTGTTAGCTGCTTTGAGACTCCTTAGGCTGGTGATAAAGCGGGATATCAAATCCAAACTCCTCCTCCTCCTGCTTCTGCTTCTTCTTCAAAACCTCCAAGGAAGGAGAGCCCACAACCTCCAGAGGAAGTCTGATTCAGTGTCGAACAGCTGTCAGAAAGTTTTTCCTGATGTTTAGTTGGAATCTCATTTCTTGTAACTTGAAGCTATTGGTTCAGCTCCTACCCTCCAGAGCAAGAGAATACAAGCTTGCTCCATCTTCCATGCAACAGCTCTATTGATTCCTATTGATCAGGCTATTGACCCCTAGGAACAGAAGACACAAAGTGTTTTATTCAAACAAAATTAAGCGTTGTTGTCTTATTGGAGAGATTTAAGCACGACTTAAATTGCTTATTTCAATAATTAAGATATAAAAGTACTTTTATATCTTTTGCTGGGTTGGGTTGGGGTTAGAAGAAGAAGAAGAAGAGTTTGGATTTGATATCCCGCCTTTCACTCCCTTTAAGGAGTCTCAAAGCGGCTAACATTCTCCTTTCCCTTCCTCCCCCACAACAAACACTCTGTGAGGTGAGTGGGGCTGAGAGACTTCAGAGAAGTGTGACTAGCCCAAGGTCACCCAGCAGCTGCATGTGGAGGAGCGGAGACGCGAACCCAGTTCCCCAGATTACGAGACTACACCACTACACCACAAGTATGTAAACCCGTGTTTCCTAGATATTTAGTGGTTCTGATGAAGAAGTCCGCGAAACATAAAATTCTTCACTTACTCTTGACCAAATTCTATGCTTGTTTAGTAAAAGATAGCAGCCTGTATACTAATAGCCATCTCATTCCCCAAGTGTTGACATTTATGTAGCCAAACTGACACAATCCATAAGCAAGAATGAAATATAAACAGGCTTGGATGAGCCCCAAGGTCTGCAGAAGTACAAAATATGTTTAGGATAAAAAATCCACAAGGAGGTACAGTGTGTGTTTGTGGAATCCCTAAACCAGGGTAGGCAACCTAAGGCCCGTGGGCCGGATGTGGCCCAATTGCCTTCTCAATCCAGCCCATGGACAGTCCGGGAATCAGCGTGTTTTTACATGAATAGAATGTGTCCTTTTATTTAAAATGCATCTCTGGGTTACTTGTGGGGCATAGGAATTGGTTCATTTCCCTCAGCCCCCCAAAAATATAGTCTGGCCCACCACATGGTCTGAGGGACGGTGGACCAGCTCATGGCTGAAAAAGGTTGCTGACCCTGCCCTAAACAGACCAAGGAGACTGGGCATGTTGTAGCCCCAGAATGGTAACTGACTGATGGAAGGTGTGGGAATGAAATGGAGTACAGTGGTAGCTCTGATTACGTACTTAATTCGTTCCGGAGGTCCCTTCTTAACCTGAAACTGTTCTTAACCTGAAGCACCACTTTATCTAATGGGGCCTCCCACTGCTGCCGCTGGAGCACGATTTCTGTTCTCATCCTGAAGCAAAGTTCTTAACCCGAGGTACTATTTCTGGGTTAGCGGAGTCTGTAACCTGAAGCGTCTGTAACATGAGGTACCACTGTATTCCTACAGAGAATATGGCAGGCTGGCTGGACCCCTGAACAGGAGCACTACAACATTTTACTGCAGAGTTCGCTTGTTCTGACATTGCAGCATCTCGGTGAATTTAGCAGAATACATTACTCTTTGCTTTTCCTTGTTTGAGCAACGACAGCAGTGGCTTCATTTCAATACTCCGTGATGTTATTTCTGCTATGTATATGAATCTGTAGATCCTTTGGGATTAATGTCTTGATGTAAATATAAAGCTGTCAGACATAATCTCCTGGCAGCATCCCAAACTGCAACGTGCAGCATCTCATCTGCAAGAATGAAACTTGTCCACTGTCAGCATTATGCGTGCGGTATAAATGAACAGTGTCTCTACTCAGCACAACCCTAGCCACAAGGCAATAATGAACACCAGAGCTTTACTAGCAACACATTGAATGGCTCTCTTTGTGCCCAGGGAACACAGTCACTTCTGACCACAAAGCAAGCCTCGCAAAGGGATTGTTTCTGCCTTACCCTCTCTAGTTCGTTCTGCACTGAATTAGTGAGCGGAGCTCATAGAAACCTCATGTAGGAAAATCAATGCAAAATATGTAGCCATTTTGCTAAGCTGCTCTGGAAACAGGGATGCAAAATTCTGCTGGGGAGAAAGAGAGAGATTCTGCTGATGGAAATTCATTTCCTTTTCCAGGGGGGTAGATTAATCATGCACTACATGTGGGATACAGATTTTGTTTTACATAGTATGCATATATTTTTGTTGTTCTTATCAAACACTTAAACACACTTATAGATCGGTATGTAGAAATTAATATGCTGTGCGAATTTGTATGGGCTCTCAAGTCCATGCAGGCAAGAAATGAGTAATTTTTTTTGCTTCCCTTCTATAATTTTAAATAATTTCCTCTTCCCACAAATCTTTCTGTCCAGGACTATTTTTAACTTCCATCCTCATGCTGTTAATATTTCCAAGAGTTGGTCAGTGATGTGTAGTTTCTGATGACTACACCATTCATTTTATTGTGTGTGTCTATATCTGTGCAGCATCTGTAGGCGATGGGTAATAGCTGTGAAATATTTATAGGCATTTTCAGTTTTGTATCTACAAACTTAGTTATGGACCCTGACTTAGACTTTATATAATGAATCATATAAACGGTTGCAACAAATCTCATGACAAAAGCACTGGAAGGAAGATTTCATGGCTTGGTAGACTCTAAGTCAGGAGTGGAGAAGCTGTAGTCCTCCATATTTTGTTGGATTCCAACTCACATTGGTCATTGGCCATGCTACCAGCCAGTCCAACACCATCTAGAGGGCCAGAAGTCCCCCAGTGCATCATAACTAGGTACATACACAAATGGTGAATTGTTTTAAGCAGGCCAGCCATCAGATCATGTGCCTAAAGATTTTCAAGGAGCTTTGGGGAAATCAAACAGAGTTTCAATAAGATTAGTGAACTCATGAGGAGGAGGGACGATGATGATGTCCTTTGTGGTAGCTTCTTCCATGGTTGGTTTAGCGATGCAGCTCTAATTGGTGGCAGGGACAGCATCCCACATGAACAAGCAAGATGGCCATCCATGCCCATTCTGTTGCCATTATTTCTGCTCTTTGACCTTAGGGCTGTGAGATAAATCGCCATACCAGTATTGAAATAACATAATGATAAGTGTTTCAACAAGGCAATATACCGGTGAACAAATGTGGATACGTAACAGTTTCTCAGGGGTTAGGTCCCCTGAACCGATACTTTACAGATACTTTGCAGATAATTTGCAGGCACCTTGTCTCCTGCCGGGAGGTACATCAAGACCCTCTGCCGCCAGGAGAAGGCATGGCAAAGCCCTCTGCTGCTGTCGGGAGGTATGGTGGGACCCTCTGTGTCCGCGAGGAGGCCTAGCAAGGCCCTCTGCTGGCGCAGATATATATTGTGATATATTGTGATATCTTGATATTTAGCTGGTGATGTATTGTGATGTTGAAAACCAGATATTGCCCAGCCCTATTTGGCATAGCAGTTGGACTTGGTGCAGTCCCGTCTGGTTGATTAGAGTTCACATTAATACCCTACACTTAAAGCACTCTTATTCCACTTTTAGCAGTCATGGCTTCCTCCAAAGAATCTTGGGATCAGTAGTTTGTTAAGGGTCCTGAGAGTTGTTAGGAGACCCTTAACAAACCATAATTCCCAGGATTCTTTGGAAAAATCGATGACTTAGAATTGTGTTAGAGTTCTTTACATGTATGGTGTGGATGTGACCTTACTCATGTGGGATCCAAATCATAAAGACCCAGGACTGCATCACTGATACAATCAAGGATGGATCAGATTTTCAGCTGGCTGAGTTTCAGGTGATATCCGTAGTGCTGTCCTGAGTGAATTTTTCAGGTGACTTGTTGCGCTCCAGGGTACTAAACTTCTGCAGTTTGGTATGGGCAGCTTAAATAAACTCCTCTTGCTTAGATATGTCTGGGTGTCTCCTTGGTTGAAGAAACTGACCAAAACATAGTCAGTAAAGCAGTGCATAGATCTGTGCTTCCTGCTTTATTCTCAGTGGCTAAAAAGTGTGGTTTCCTACCCTTGAAAAAACCTCAAGGGTAATGAGCTTCTCACAGTATTCTTCAGGTAAAAGCTTTTAGTATCAACTTGCACAATCACGGTTGTTTTTCCCTGTGTCATACAGCCATATTGCCAAGTCCTTCACAAAGCAGCCATTCAACTGACTGTGCAAAAATAAAAGGTTGATCAGTGTATAACTCTGCACTTTTTGTTGACCATTAGTACTATTACAATTAATCCTGCGGGAAGTTGACTCTTTTAAATATTAAGAGACGTACCATTAGGTCAATGAATGGTGTATTTTATCTTACCTGTGGTAGGAACCCACACTCAGATCTCTCTGTGTGTGTGACATGGTTGAAGATAGCAGCTAACTTGGCTAACCCTAACTGGCAAGCTATTGGTGGAGGATCTGGGTTAAAAATTCTACAGGGAGCCCACACACTTGCGGGTTCCTCACTGCAAGTTGTTCTTGCAAGACATGAGAGGTGCATGGATCAGGTGATGGGGATGTGACAGAGGGAGCAGGACCAGGAAGCCCAGCTGTGCCCCTCAGCTCCTTGCACAATCATAATTGTGTCAGGTGGGATGGGGGATGCCTGAAGGTAGGACTAAACAAACAGGGAGCAAACCTCAGTCCCATCCTGCTGTTCTTGGACGTTCTGTATTGCATTGAGTTCTCAGCACATTCTCATGCTGCCCCACTAAAGGAGTCATTATTTATGTACTAATAACTACTTGGTAATGGAAGAATAGCCTCATCGTCATGTTTATGGGGTTACTTACAAGCCACGGTGTTTGCAGCAATGTCACATGTCACTTATTTGAGGGGACTGCCTAATGGCCACTTGTATTCCTTGCTACTTCGTAACTGTCTAGCTAATTGAATGTTGAAAGGGCATCCAGGTAATATTTGGTGGGGCAGCAGAGGGAGAGGGCAGAACCTCTTTTTTGTGTTTTGCCTGGCAACGAACAGATGGAAGGCACATCTGCTGGAAAGATCAGTTGACTGGCAGAAGTTGATTTCTACAATGGAAGTTGTTGTTGTTTTTACTTATTTACTGCAGTGTGTGTAACACATGTGCACACACATCTCCCTGTCTTAATTATATATGATACATGCACGTTCTGCCTGTTGCCTTCCCCTGAAGCAGTGGCAGACAGCATTGTATGGTGGAGGTGTTTATCCAACCTCCCAATTGGTCAATCACTGCTACTTACTTGCAGGGGCAGAGGAGGAGCAGCAGAGCGGGTGCCAAGGTGCAAATACACCAGCAGGAGCACCGGGTTAGTTCAGCCGGTGAATTGACACTTTCCCACTGCCACCTCATCTCTCCCTCTCTTGATAAGAAACAACAATTCATCTGGGAGGTCAGCTCCCATCAGTTGAAGTCTCAGAGTAATTTCCAAGGGCAGCACCTTGTCTAGGAGTAGTCAAGTCTGCTTATTATTAGGGCAGAGATAAAATTGGCAAAGCTGCAAGATAGCACTGTTTCCAAGCCTCCACTATTTTGAGCGCTCATGTTGACTACAAGGAATATAATATTTTGGGATTTCTTTATCTGTGAGCATAATACTTCTTCAAAATCCCATGTGAACTAGATCTCTGTTTTAGCAAGTGCTTTGAAATTCTCTGTCAGCTACTATAGATGAACTAATGGTGCTTGCTGAGAATTACAGTTGATGTGCTCCTTTAACCACACCATTCCCCGTAATGACATTACTGCTGAACATTCTTGCCATTTATTGCTGCTATTCTACTAGCAAAAATATGTTTTTCTTAAACCTTCAGTGTCTTGGAATTATGCAGCACATTGGAAGATCATGAAATAAAGACCACCAAACATGGTCAGAACAACTTTTAAGAGGCAGTGAAGCATGATAGGATAGACCACACAACTAAAATTCAAGAGTTTCAGTACTGTCACTTGTGGACTGAACCAAGACAAATAATTTGTAGTACATTATATGCGCTAATTGGCTTACCAATGCCAGGATGTATGTGCCATTAAAAAAATTGATTTGTGAATTGCCACTGTTAAGGACTTTTCTCCATTTCATTTTCCTCTAATTTCACTTTTTACAATTCAACTCCCCATGCCCAAATCATCTCAGGATGGCAATTCATGTCCCCCAGGCTAAAAAGGGTTCTTTTCGCCTAATTTATGGCATAATAGTCTGTCGCAGCAAAGGCCATTTTCAACAGCTGTCCCTCCATTGCATGTTGTCTCCCTTGCTTCCAAAATGTCCTCCCTTGCCTTGGTGCCATTCCACGGGTGGTAGCGATTGAATAGCCATTTTGTTTGGCTTCTAGTTCCAGTATATGTCTGGGCAAAATGTAATGACAGCATCTGAGATGTATGGCTCTGACATCCAAAAAATGTTTTATTAAATTGGTCAAGGTAATTTAATATGAGTGTGAAGACCTGAAACCAGTGGAGGCATGTGGACACATTTGGAGCCTAGAAAAGGAACGCTCTGGCTCCTTTCCCCTCTTTGCTTTTTGCAGAAGCAAGGTGTGATACCAGGAGGATAGCAAGCAGCGATTTGTTCCCTGAAATCAGCCAGATGTTTACAGCTAAGGGAGATGGAAGGCAGTGGCGGGGGCGCAGAGGGAAGAGGCGGCGGCTCAGTGAACACCGCTGGGTGCCTAACAAGCATTTCTGCTATTAGTCTAAAGCCATCTGCTAGATTTGTGTTAAAAGAGGGAAATCCCAAGGGGTGGGTGGGGGGAGAGAAACACGGAGAGAGGCAGCGCCGTCACTGAGGCTCTGGCCTGGTGATGTGGGAGGGGATCCCAGACTCTTCTCTTCCTCCCCACCCCCCAGCTGTGGACTGTGAGGTTTGCAGCGACTGCAGTATGCATCAATCAATGTGTGGGGGTGTTAAAGTTAGAAGAGGTTGCTCTGCGGAAAGGAGTGTGTTGTGCACACAGCAGCAGCCCAGTGGAGAGCAGCAGCGCAGCAGAGATGGGGAGCCTTTCAAAGGTAGGATCGGCTCAGCTGCGGGGGTGGGGGGTGGGGGAGGTTTTAGGGAAGGGGACTACTAGAGTCTCCCTCTCTCTTTCTCTCTCTCATTTTTTTGTAACGTAGGCTTACTCCGGAGGCTTCTTAGCCTCATTGTGTCTTTTCAGGCCAGCCTGCCTCCTCAGCTAAACAGTTGTACACATCTGGGCTTGGGGTTCTTGAGTTGCCCCCTGCACCATGGTAACCTTGAGCCTGTGCAATGCAGCTCCTCAAACCCTTGCAGCAATAAAGGCTGGGTTGGTTTTCTGTTTCTTGCATTCAGGTTCTTTAGAAGGGGTATGCTAGAGGCTGTCTCTGCTCCCAATGGCTCCTAGCATAATATGCTGTATTCTGGAAATGCTCTGAGAGCTAGAAGTGTAGAAATCTGTCTTAGACTGCACCAGACCATTGCTCCATCTAGCTGAGTATTGTCTACACTGACTGACAGAGGCTCTTCAGGATTTCTGGCAGGAAGTCTCTTCCAACCCTACTTGGAGATTTCAGGGATTGAACCTGGGACCTTCTGCAGGGAAAACAGATTGTCTTCCATTGAGCTACGCCCTTTCCCCTTCTTTCCAGTTGCCCTCCCAAACTTGCAGGATGGGGGGGGGGAGGGTTTTGTTTCTCTCCCCTGCCCACTTTGCTACTGCTTCTAGGAGGCTAAAGGGGGAGGCTAAAAGCAGGAGGAGTCCGGGTGTGAGGTTTATGGGTTCTAGTAAAGAACTTCTACATTTTCTTCCATAATTAGGGCACTGCCCTTCTCTTTATGAAATGTTCCCTTGAAAAGCCTAGATTAACTATGGGGCTACATGTAAAGCTGTAAAATAGTGCTGGGGCCGAGCTGGGGCCACCGCTGTGTTGTAAGCACCTGAAGGTGCATCCATGAGGAGATGGCCTCTTCCAAGGCAGCCCTCCTTTGAAGCCCCCAGGTTTCTGCTTTTGGCTACATCAAAAATATATAATTCTGTCAGTGCCTTGTCTGGGAAGGAGCTCCTGTGCTTTTAATATCTGCATGGCAGGAAGTGGGTGGGGGGCTGGATGATGGCTTTTGGTGGTTCCTCTCATCTTTGGAGCATTGTTGTAGGAGTGATCTCACACCTGCCATCTTTTCAGACACACGAAAAAGCCTCACTCGGGGCTTGTTGGCTTTTGCAACCTAAGCAGGATGACCAAACAGTATATGAAAAACCATGGGATAAGTAAGGCAAGGCGAGAGTGGAGGAAAGTGGGCCGCACCTGCAATTTGCTGCTTTCCCCTTCCCTCTGTGGCGACATAGTAAAAAATGAGGTTGTGAGCAAGGAGCAGAGGCCTCAGCACCAAATGGGTGCCCTCTAAGGACTGCAACAGGCCATGGGCCAGAGATTCCCCATCCCTGATCTAAAGGGACAGCCCCTCAGCTATGACGGAGGATAGAGATGTGGCTTTTCCTAGCCTGCTTCTCCCTTAGTCCTTTCATTCATCTTCCTCTCCCTAGTTGCAAGAGTAAACAGAACTCCTTTGTTGCCCCACAGCTGGGGGGAATGGAGGGCAGGCAAAGAGTGGGGCAGGGAGCAGCAGCAGATTACCGTAGTCCTCCTCCTCTTCTATTGTGACATCCCTGACACTGGTGAAACAGTGTTGATCCATAGTAGATTTTTCAAAGGAGAGTTTGCATGAGTTACAATATTTGTGGCAACTTCATCCCATACCTCTTTGCACAACACATCATCACTGTGAAACTCGCTCTCACAAGATGTAGTGATGGGCACCAACTTAAAGGAGAATTAGACAAATTCATGGAGGTTAAGGCAGTCACTGGCTACTGGCCAGAATGGCTATGTTCTACTGCCATTTGCAATCCCAGTTGCTGGGAACTGCAAGTGAGGAGTGTGCAGTTGCACTGAGATCCTACTTATGAGCTTTCTAGTGGCCTCTGGCTGGCCACCATGTTTAACTAGATGAGCCGCTGACATGCTCCAGCAGGGCTCTTTTATATTCTTACAAACAGAAGAAGTTATGTGATAATAGTTTCAAAGGGGATTAGTATTTATTGAGCTGGAAGAAAGCATCTTGAGTTGAAACATGAAAATATGCTCCTTTCACCAGTGACCCACATACTACAAGGAAGGGATTCAGCCTGTGGTTAAAGGCTAAGAAACAGTTAAACAGGAGTCAATTTCAACACATTAGGACCTCTGTAATGTTGTCTAAGGATTGTTCACTAAGATGTTTGGAGGAAGTCCTTTTTGTTGGGTTGCAACCTGCAGAACTCTGTATTGGAGCAATGTAGAAGCAGGCCTTTTCGGAGGTGGCACACTCTTTGGAATGAGCTCTTTGCCGTAAGTCAGTGGTGGTCTGCTTCTGTCATGCACTAAAAACCCACTGTTTTTGCACAGGCATTTCCAGACCATCAGTGCCAGCTTTTAACCACTCTAGTTCTATAATTGTGATGTTTTATTTGTATGCTTTATTAATTTTGTTGTTGTTTTATGGTTGCTAATCACCTTGGAAATTGTTTTTTAAATGAAAAGTAGTAAAGAAATTATTCTAATCAGTCAATCAGTAAATAAATAAAATGCGTATGTTAGCCTACAAAAATTAAGCGCTCCCTTAACCTTCCGGGGGAAAGTGCAGTTTTCCTTCATTTCGAAACATGCATTTATAGCAGAGAGTGCAGTAAGTTTGCTTTCTGTTGAACAAAGTTCAGAACTGCTGCTTGGCTGATGACATTCCTGAATTTGCAGATGGATGGGCCCATTATACTGACAACCAAAAACAGAGTGCAGTGTGGTGCTTGGAATTTATGGGTGCAGTTCAGCATTGTGTTCTTCCCATTGTCCTGTCTGCGCAGGCATTCCGGCTTGTCAAACGGAATGATGCTTTCTTCTCCCACAAACTGGTCAGAGAGTTCTCCTGACCCACTCCCAAACCAATTTTGCAGGAGGTGTGGTGGAAGCGAGGAAACCCTATTGTTCAGGGCTTCCAGTGATGGGGCTGGTAGGTGAATCCAGGGGCAAAACTAGGCTTTATTTCACCCGGGTCAAATACCCAGTTTGATACCTCCCTCACACACATTTGCACACACACACAGGCTGGGAGCCTCAATGGAGGCTTCACCTGGGGCTATCCCCCCCACCCCACCCCCCAGCTATAGCATTGGGTGAATGTTTCAGCAGGTGCAAGTTTTACATTCATTCGCAGCATCCAATTTGTGTCCTATTATGGGTTTAAAAAGAAGTTTTCTGGACCTTTGGAACTGGCTCAGTAACTAAACTGGGTGAATATCCTGCAGTTACTATATCTGGACCTTTCCCTTTTTTTCCTGTGTTCACGATGAAGAAATGTTATAAATGTCATAATATATTTGTGTCGTCTTCTTAAGGTGCCACAAGGCTGTCTGTTGTTTTTGCTGCAGTGCAAGCTAATACTTCCCCTTGCCAATAATTGCTTGTTTTGTTTGTTTCACTGAGCCGTGCTGCAGGTTAGCTGTCTGTCTAAAGAGATCCCTAAATGAAATGGTGTTCAGCCAGGATGTCTTCAGGCTTCCAGAAGACAAATTGGATGATGTGAAGGAAAATCTATGATTGGATCTCCATATATATATATATATATATATATATATATATATAGGCACATTCTAAAGTGGCAGGTGACAGGCTAATCTGGATGATGCCCATGAGAGGGGGATGGGATTAAGGAGAAAGGGACAGTGCCCCGTTGATTGCCTGCTGGTTCAGTTGGGGCAGCCTCTGTCAGCCTGAATGCAACCTTTGTCAATGGGCATTGGTATATGCCTAGACTAGTCTTGGTCCTAAACAGTGTTTGCCACTACTCACTGCTGTTTTGCAAAGCTGGCTAAGCCCAGTCTGCATCTGTCTGGCTCAGCTGGATGATGCAGGGAGAACGTGGACTTTGGGCTTCTTGTTAGCATGCATGGCTTACAGTTTGAGCCAGTCTCCCCACTCCTTTTGGCTTCTCTTTTCCTGCTGGCGCTGGCTGTCTCATTTATTTTTCCGAATCTGTTTAAGCCTGACCCGCCTCCAGAAAGCTCCTCTCTAAGAGACACAAGACAGCTGGTTGCATGTGCCTTGGAACTTCATAGCGCCTATGTGGGACAAGCCATAGGGCAGACTGCCGTGAGAATAATCCGTTAGTGGCATGCTTGCTGTTGGTGAATTGGCAGCCCATGCTGTTCCCATGGCCCTTGCAATAATCAAGGAGGGGCATTTTGGGTCATCTCAGCATGTCGTCTTCCTGCATCTCACTGGGTTGGGGAAGGAGCAAGCATGTAATGGTTTAGATTGGAAGGCCAAGTGAATGCTTTTGTGTTGGCCAGCTCTCCTAGGACCCAGTATTCCGCTTGTTAATGCATGCTGGACAATGACTGTAGAGCTATAAATTTACTTGGGGCAGAAAACGCAAGGCAAATTCGGCCAGCATATAGACAAGGTGAGAATTTGAATGCAAGGTCCTCATTTTATGTCTGAAAGAACATGTGGCTGTGCTTCTGGTGGTGTGCTGAAATAACAGCTGGAATGGTCTGGGGCTCTCCTGAGATTAGCTACTGATTGTGCATCAATTTTAAAACTCCTTGCAAAGATCTGAGGCATTTATTATTATTATTATTATTATTATTATTATTATTATGCAATCCTACATATATTGGTTTGAGAGTATCCCTCCTTGAAAACATGCCTTTTCTTCTCAACTTCTTTCTCTCTCTCTCTCTCCTCCCCTGCTTGTTGAGTCAAGCTCAGAATTCTTGTGTCTCTGAAATGATGATGCAGCAATTTACTGCTGCCTGAAAGCAACGTGAGCATGTATGACCTGAATCCAAGTGCTGCAAACACTGCAGTAAAACTGCTGGAACATAATAACAGCACCGGTATGAGGCATGCTGCCATAAACCAGGACTTACTGGTGAAAAGTGTAGCCTTATAGAACAGGTGTCATTTCATCTGCAGCAATAGGTGCACATTTGTACTGAAGTAGTGTGATAGATACTGAAGGGTATTGTGTAGTGACTAAAAAGTATGAGCTGTGATATTTTTAACTTTAGGACTCTGGTATGCATAAAGAATCAGAGGTGCAAAGTGGGTAAGATTATACCTTTTTATTGGACTGGCTTCTTTGGAGGGGCAACATAAGTTCAGGAGGCACCAAGAATGCTTCCTAAACCGGAGTAGATAGGTAACTAGTCTCATTCATTCATTCATTCATTCATTTGGTGTTTGTCACTTGGTTGCTGCCTGAGGTGGATGCTGAGCAGATTGTAGAAGGAGTTGCTTTGCTCTTGCTGTCTTCAGGGTTGTGATCATATTTGACAGTACAATTCTGTGTCCCACACTGTCCAGGTAAATATATTTAGATCTTCATCCCAACTTTTTCTTACAGCTTTTTTATTCAGCACATGAATCACAAGTGATGGCCTTAGAGGTGCCACCTGGCTGGTCGTAATCTGGACTGACTAAATTCAGGCAGTTAATCAGTGTGCTTGACTTTAAAGTGAGGATGGGGAACTTGTGGCGCTTTGGATGCTGTTGGACTCCACCTCCCATCAGCTCCAGCCAGCATTGCCAAT